TTGGAAAAACTGTCGGGGGAAATAACAACCAATTTCAGACAGGCGTACAAGGACCTCGACATTCCAAAAGAAATAGTCGATGACGCAAGGAAAAACGGTGGCTTTGACCTCTATCTTAGCGGAGGCGGGTTCAGGGGCTGGGGCTACCTACTCATGAACCAGTCAGATATTGACCCTTACCCAATCCAAATCATCAATGGCTTTAAGGTGCCCTTCCCGTCCTTCAGAAATACAAAGCCATTAGAGAAGCTGGCGGCTGCGTCAGAGGTAGTCGACATATCCCATGTCTCCGACAGACGAAGAGCCCAAGCCCCCGCAGTCGCATTCCTCATCCATGCACTCTCCCACGCCCTCCCAAAAATCAAAGACGTCCGTTTCTGCCAAGGAGGCGTGCGCGAGGGCTTCCTATTTGACAAACTACCCATGGAAATCCGTCTCCAGGACCCCCTCGTCACAGCAACGTTGCCATACAGAAAAGAATCCGCTTCTCAAATCGGCGAACTTATCTTCCGCGCTCTGCCGCAGCTCTCGACGAACTTGACACATAAGGAATTCACCCCTCCCCCCCTCTTCAACTTCGACTTCATTTCCGCCGTCGCAAATATCATGCATACCCACGGGTCCGCGACCAAAGAAACTCGCGCCTCCGCGGCCCTCAACTCCACCGCAACCGGCCTCCTCTGTTATACGCATGGCCTCTCGCACGAGCGTCGCGCCGCCCTCGCTCTTGTCTTATACGACAGCTGCGCCGGCGACCTTCCCTCTCCGCACGAAACATTCCTCTACCGACTCCGCCGCATCCTCTCGGTTGAAGAGGCATGGTGGTGCCGGTATATCGGGCGCGTGACGGCGTTTGTCAGCAGTATCTATCCCGCCGGCCTAGTTCCGCACCAGGGTCCACGGGCTGATTTCCAAGTGCGCTGCGTGGACACTGGGCTTGGGAAGAAGAAAAAGCTTGCTGGGATTGAGTTGACGATTAAGATTCCCCGCAGGGATCGTGGGGACGGGGAGGATAATGGTGATATTGAGGGTGCGTTTACGGATGAGAAATTCTTGGCGGTTGGAGTTAAGCGTATTGAGAAGATTGGGAAGAGGAAGCATTGGCTTCCGAAGGAAAAGGGGCACGGGCGCTTTGGGATCAAGGTTGGGGTTAAGGTTGTGGAGGGGTTGTGACACGATTATTTTGGTTATAATGCATGGTAGGGTAGGTACGTTGTATTTATTTATTCTTTTCTTTTTACGGGTAAGGATCATTTTTCGACCTATTCTATATGTTTTATAGTTTGATTTACCAAGGCTCTGAAAGCAAGTTGGTTTCGGTTAGGATTGCGCTCCGAGGAGGGCGATTCTTTGTAAAAAGGAACCTGAGGGGTGAACAAACTTGTGGTTATATTTGTGAACGCTTATCAATAATATGGCCAGCAAGTAGTTAACTATTGTAATATGCCGATGATAACAAAACCCGGATGTCAAACTATTCCCCTAACGTATGATAATGAAAAATGTCATACCCCAAATCTGGAAAACAGCGTGTCGCATGTCAGCAGGTGCGAGATCTCCAGCACTGGAGGCAAATAAACTACTTCCATAGAGTAATGGCGTAAATTCACATGGGTTGATTTGGTTGCGCAGGACGGGTGGGAGGGGAATCTTTCCCAGCGCATAAAATGACCGCACGGAGATTGGGGGGAAATTCAACAAGTCGAGTAAAACCGAGTGTATTTAACCAAGTAAAACGTAAGAACTTGCAAACTGCGAACGAGGCGTCTCAAGTTCAAGCCAAAGGCCAAAAAGTGAAAAAGAGAACAAACCAAATAAACAAACAAAGAAATGAAACAATGAAACAAGAAACGAGCAGGCGGATACTTATTTTACCCAGCGCAGGTAAAAAAGTACCAGGACGCAAGCCTAAATTCCCCGAAAAGAAAACAAAATATCAAAGTGCATGAAAAAAAACAAAGATTTATGGCTCTTCATATGCCAACAAAAGTCAACAGAATTATTCACTGGTAGATAGACCATTCATTGGGCAGGCTTCTTCTGCTCCGGCCCAGCATTTTTGACACTGTCAATACCGGGATTGACTTCCACTTCAATGGCCACTTGGGCATTAGAGTCGATTTCAATTTCAACGTGGGGTTTACGGCCACTGATCTCTTCTTCGCCTCCGGAAGAGTGATAATTGGCGTCCTTATTACCATCATAGCCCCTCTGATCGACAGGGTTATTGTTGTAGTATCCGTCGTCAGGGTTATCATCGTCGTCATAGACCGTGGACGCTCTGGTTTCATAACCAGCGTCTTCAGTTGCTTTCATTCGGGAGCCCGATCCACTGGGCGTAGCGTCCTCTACTCCAGGGGATTCAGCCGCAGCACCGCCGCGCTCAGCGTTTTTACCTTTGGTTGGACCATCATCTAGATCCAACAATCCAACTTGGAAAACCAAGCGATCCTCCTCATCATCTTGGTCATACTGGCCATTGGCTTCTAGGGCCTCGTCGTACGTTGGGGGGTTGCTACTAGCTGTACCAGCCGGGCCAGCAGAAGGACCACCACGCTCGTCTCCGCCGTCCTCCCCATCCCCGCTTTCCAACTTATGCCACTTGTCCATGCATGTAGGGCAGATGCCCTTTACTTCATTGATAAGGACAGAAGGCTTGTCAGCTTGGATGTCAAGGGAATCTTGCTCGATATCCGTTCGAATCTCCTCGCCCTCATGGCCACATTCCCATTTATCCTTAGACATGTAGAACACTTTTCCGTCGACGATGGTTTCTTTGTGCAGAGCTGGGTTGGTGTCAGGGTCTAGACAGTCGGGGCACAGGCCTCGACATTCGTTAATAAGAGTGGTAGACTCCCTTCCATCGTCGTCGTCGTCGTCAGTTTCCTTCTCGATGTCTGTTGGCATCTCGGGGCCTTCGTGGCCGCATTCCCATTTATTTTTGGACGTGTAGAATATATTTGTCTTGTTAGCCACGATAGGGGCCATGAGCTCAGGGTTCTGGGCAAGAATCGTTTCATAGTCTTCCCACTCTTGATTTGGTGTAGCCGATCGCAGAGAGGGATCTGCAGCAAGGGCAGCGTTGTATTCTGCTAGGACATCGTCTGCCACGCCTTGGATGCTGGTTGCTTCTCTGGGTAGGGAGTTGTCAGTTAAAGATCTAGTAACAGCTTCATTTGTTCCTGGCGTGGAGGCAACTTGGCCTGCAGAGGGAACCGGGATAGCCGGAGCGGTAGTAGGTTGTTTCTCAGCCATCGTAAAGCCTTATTATAGATGTGGTATCAAGATGCTCCAATAGATGATGATATAGTATAATTCGGCGAGTAACTACTAAACAAGGCAACCTTGGTAAACTGTAGCAAAGGAATAAGGGTATCCAAGAAAAGCTTGAAACTATTCAAAAAATGAACCTGTGGTTGTGAAGAAGTTGCGAAAGGAAGAGAACGGCGGAAAAAGACACACACGCTGCACTGGACACTGATATTTATAGAGCCAGTCCATGTTGGAGACGGGTGATGGAAGGAAGGAAATATCATAGTTGTGAATTCAAATGACACTCTCTAGGGAAATTCACTGGAGGGTAGGTACCAACATGTAGCAGATCTGCTATACATGGCGTGGGTTATCTTCAAGGAATGCTCCGTATAGAATATTGAGGGGGATATTGGCTCTCTTGGGTTCGGGTAGGGGTAAGGCAGCCATCAACGTATATATTTAGAATATATTGCTAAAATAGGAAATCAGGATATCTTCATTCAGCAATGCACGTAGATAATAAATAATCATAACCAGAGCATCATGCCAGATCTGTATACAAACTACGTCGTTCATACTGTCTAGCGTAGTAATAATGGTGTTTTGTCATCAATGTTGTTGTTTTCATATGCCAAGACCTAGGAGAATTTTCGAAGACTTTAACTAGTCGACTGCAATTCAACCAATCACAGGCTCGACGCCATCCTTCACAATGACATCATCGAAGGGTAGGAGGAGTTATTCGTACACCAGCATTATAGCAATCCACGATTATAATATTGATAGATCCTCAATTGAAACTTTTTCTGATGCTGAATGCTTTATGGATACAACAAGTACCATCTGAATGGCAAAGTTCCTCCTATAGGAGAAACTCAAGATGGAGGAGGAGACAGACAATAAGCCCCTCCCCGCCAAATCCAACTCTAGGAGCACAGCCGAAGGAGTTAAGACCTGGAAATCGCAACCCGACAGTGTCCAACCCACACAATCATTGCTAGGTCTCATAAAGTGGATATATTACCCTAGCATTTCTTCTGTGCTCCTCGTTGTTGGCCAGGTTCGATGCCCAAATCCGCGTCCTCCATCTCCTCCCTGAGGATGGTGCAATCTCACAACCCATCTTCCATGATCACCTTCTGCCACGATGGGGCAAAGGAGTAGTCTCACAAGCAGACTGACATGGTCACACTTCATGTTGGAGATGGTGAGGCCGTCAGCAGCTTCCTTGGGGATGTTAAGCTCTAGGCCCGGAAGCTGCGGAATGATTCTCACGAGGGCGCATTGGTGCGAAAGGAGAGTGCTGAGATGATTCAGCGATCCAAGATATTCCCCCAGTGAGCGGTCCCTCGATGCAATTTGCAAAGGATAGGGGCGGGATTTACTCTATGAGTGCTGCATAGATGTACCCTGATTTTATTTTTCGCACCATTGCTCAAGGGCAGAGGGGAGGGAGGATCCTGATTCCCAGCCGACGAAACTTCCCGCAATGAGATCAACTCGATAAGTTCTTACGTTTGAGGTATGATCAGTGTATTTATGGCTTTTGAAATATCGCTTGCATGCATAATAGCAGTCGGTACCTTATATTCGCTCAATGATTTATACCTTATGTAACTTACTATGTTGGAATACAATACCCCGGATAAACCACGCACCGCTCGCTACCGAGTGAAAAATAAGCAATATGTTGCCTCTTGCAGCCCAGAGATTTCACGGAATCTTCCCACAGTATCCGTTGTAGCCACTAAATCAACGGAGGGTAGCAGTAGTAGACCTGGTTATATAAAACTTGATCTTTTCCCTATCTCAGGTATAGAGGCGAATTGAAACTGGAGAGCCTCAGGAGGTTCAAATTCCTTCCAGTCGAGTCGGTCCTTGTGATGCCCGGATTTCACACACCGAACGAACTTCCGGTCCTGGAGCGGAGAGTGATTCAATGCTTGGGAGCTGTACTAATTAATGTCCAAGCCCATAATCCCTAATCCCCCTTCGTATATCGCAACGAGTAGCAGTGGTGATGCCGACTTCGGGACAACCTACCTCTCCCGGCCCGAAAAGGCGCCAAGTAGAGTTCACGGTAAAAGATGCCTTTGAGCTCTTCTTGCCAATACTATTGACTTGAATGAGTGATAACCCCCACTTGGTATTATTTGCGTGTGTTTGTTCTGGCCAGTCACCAGAGTCACAAGTTTGCAGCAATCCTCACCGGGCTGACTCAGCACAACCCCTCCTTTCCGCGGCGCAGGTATATAAACCTCCCACTTCCCCAACAAATCCGGCATTCTCCTCCATCTCTACCCAACACCTCTCATCCCCAGTATTGGTATTATTCGACAACCGAATTCGTAACCTAATCCACCCAATTGATCCGAAACTGAATTGTACTTATAGCATTGACTTGGTCAGATCCCTCTTCCACCCTTCTGAAATTTACCCCGCCATTGGCCGGCCTTGCTAATGTGTGCTAGTTATCAAAACCCCAGCAGACCAAGTTCATCTGGTACATCTCTCACACAAGATAGAAGCCATGAATTTTCCTCAGCTGGGGATAATGTCCAACCATGATCAAGGTATCTCAATGGAGTAACTCATTTGTGCATGAACCGGTGTTCGTTCCCTCACCCCTCCCGCGAATAGCCGCATCCACCTCTTCTTCGACCCCAACCCACTAAAGGGCGAAAAGAGAGATGTTGTTATGCTACGGGAAGGCTCTGAGGCTTCGTTCTGAAATCATACGGTCATAACTTGATCTGGATAATACCAGCGAAAGGATCATGCCTTCTTTCTCCCCTTACCCCCATAACCTCGAACTGTACTCCTAACATGGTGCATATAGTATCTCTTGAAAAATGTCTCCTCCATCTGCAACATACGACGTGGTAGTTCCTCCAGCTGTTCTTGCTACCAAAACCAACAAGCCCACCACCACCAATGGGAGCCTTACGAATACCGGCACCATTTTGGATGAATTTGCTGGAAAATGGGATGACTTTAGCTTCGGCCATATTCGCGAGAGCCAAGTCTCCCGCGCTATGACGCGCCGCTACTTCAAGGATCTGGACACCTATGCTGAGAGTGACATCGTGATTGTCGGTGCTGGATCCTGCGGTCTCAGCACTGCCTATGTCCTGGGCAAGGCACGCCCGGATTTGAAAATTGCCGTCATTGAGGCTTCCGTCTCCCCTGGTACGTTTACCGTTGTTGTAACCAAGAACCAAAATTAGATTATTATCGTAGCACATTGTTTTCTTGCTAACACAACTGCCAGGCGGTGGTGCGTGGCTCGGTGGCCAACTGTTCTCCGCCATGGTCCTCCGCAAGCCGGCTGACCGTTTCCTCGATGACCTAGGGGTTCCGTACGAACAGGAACCCTCCAACCCCAACATGGTCGTGATTAAGCATGCTGCTCTTTTCACTTCCACCTTACTCTCTAAGGTCCTCTCCTTCCCAAACATCAAGCTCTTCAACGCCACTTGTGTTGAGGACTTGGTCACTCGCCCGTCCCCAATTCCGGGCGACACACAGGGTGTTCGCATTGCTGGTGTCGTGACCAACTGGACACTCGTGACTCTTCACCACGATGACCACTCCTGCATGGACCCCAACACCATCAACGCACCTCTGGTCATTAGTACTACCGGCCACGATGGCCCTTTCGGTGCGTTCTGCGCCAAGCGCCTCGTGTCCATGTCTGCAATTGAGAAATTGGGTGGCATGCGCGGGCTGGACATGAACTCGGCCGAGGAGGCGATTGTGAAGAATACTCGGGAGGTGACCAAGGGGTTGATTATTGGAGGTATGGAGTTGAGTGAGGTTGACGGGTGGCACCGTATGGGCCCGATCTTTTCGGCCATGATGCTCAGTGGAGTGCGTGCAGCGGAGGTTGCGCTGGAAGTTTTCGAGGAGCGAAAGAGAGAGTGTGCTGATCCGAATGGGTATTGATTTCTGACCTTCAAAGCCTGAAAAGGGCTGGAGGCGAAGGGAAAGTGGAAACGGAAGGAGTCTTCCAAAATAATGCGAACACGTCATGGGAGGATAAAAATGTATTAAATGCTTGTCTGCTTGTTCATGGGCCGGCACAAGAGTCCCTTTACTGTCGTTAAAGCAGATATTTCGTCCCTCCCCTTAGGGAGGTGATATTAATGTATGTACATGAGTGCTTTGGACATTGATAGTCAAAACTTGCAATAGTATCGAAATTGCCCACATAACAAAATAAATGTAGAATAGATAAACGCAAGAGGTGCCCACCTTTCGTATTCCCACCAATTGTTAATTGTATATAGGGAGGGGCTTAGGAAATAAACATGACCAAAACTAGAAACAAAACGTGACTCACATAATCACCCACCCACAGTCCAGTTGGATACTAGAAATGCATCCGTCCCCGATACACCAGGCAATTAGGAAATCTGATATATAAAACACATAATCATATAATCATATACGAAAAGTAATGGCAACATTCCTCATGAAACTCAAACGGAAATATTAGATCAATATCATCCATCAAAAATATTAAAAAGAAGTTTTTGAGAAAGGGTAAATACGACGAAGAAAGAAAACAAGGAGTAGAGAACCTCCGCCGCTCCGTTTCCAAAGCTCTCAGGGACACCAACCTCTCTGTACCGGTTTCGGCGATCTATGCTCCTCTTCAATATCCAACCCCAACCCCAACACAGTCCTCCTCGCATTCCGAATCTCCCACTCAAACTCCTTAAGCGCCCGTAACTCACTGCTCACAAACAAGCCGCCAATCAACCCATCAATGGTCCCCGCGACGAGGCTCAGGGAACTAACCAGGCAGAGAATGAACGAGACAAACGCGTGCGGAGACCACCATACACCAACCAAGCAGGCGATGGTGATGACCAGGGAGACAATAAAGTGGCCAAGGCGCGCACGGCGCTGGAATCGCTCTCGGCCGGTGTAGGCGGATATCATATGGAGGATCTGGTCGTACATACCTGCCATGCGCGTTACCTGCTGTTGTTGGTGGGCTACGGCCGCACTCGCGGTCGACTTCGGATTGGCGTTTGGGTCCCTGGCGTTTTCTGCGGTGATGCGTGTGGTTATGCACGCGGAGGACCTGGATCGGATGGACTCGATGTGTTTTTGGATGGGGAGGAACGAAGACAGGTCTTCCTCGCTATCGTCGTCTTTGGCTACATCTAGCGTGATTGTGGCTTCTACGCCGAAATGGTCGCTTAGTGAGCAGTGGAGGGTTGGGTGTCTTTCCATCATGGATACACGGGCGGAGACAATGGTCCATTTCCTAGGCGAGGAGAAGTTGCTGTACGCGCCGTCTCCGATGAATATGTAGTCGAGACGTTTCCCGAGGGGGTCAGGAAGTTGGCCGTCGACTTCTATATGACCTTCGCGCTTGAGCCTCTTTTGCTGTGATTTGTTCCAGCGCCACGTATTGAAAATACCATCGCACGTAGCTCCGTTTTCGATGATATTGAAATCAGCAGATGGGACCGGCTTCTTCCTGGCCATTTCGACGGCGTCTACCGCTGCGCCAATAGATGAGTCCGGGTGTAGATGGATCCATACATCCTTGACTGGTGCATGCGAAGTAATGAGTCGGTGAGCAAAGGATTGTGGAAGCATGTTAAAATCCCCTAGCCCGATGACCAGATGCCCCCTTTCGGCAGCGGCCCTCATTAATTTGCCAATTTCCCACGCCTGCGCTGTTCTATGGCAGAGATAGGAATCTCGCGGTTCCTTTTCATAGGGCGCATGAAGATGTGTACAGAAGACTTCCGCAGTATCAGTAGGCGAAGGTCCAATACGGATCCTAGCGCATGCGACCCCCTTGCCAACAAACCAATCACCCCGGAAGAATGCAGTAGGGCGACCGTTCAACGGATATTCGTACATGGTACTTTCTTCAATGGGCCATTTTGAGAGAATAGCCAGACCACCGCCAAATATGCCGCTGAAATAAAACTTGCCGTATGGGAGGATCTCCCGCGTCTCTCTGCGGATGTTGCTGTAGTCCTCCTGTGTCCAGCATTCTTGTAGACCAACGATGTGTGGCGGATCATCGGAGCGGGCTATGCGTTTCCCAATCTCAAGAAGACGTTCGCGACGGTATGTGGAAAGAAATTTAAGACCCCAGCAGTTCAGGGTGAGGATGTTTATCTTCTCTGGGAGCTCGTCGCTGTTCTCGGGGAGCATCGTGGAAATTGGAAAATGCCGGTTTAAATTCTGGAACAGGCAAATCTGGAGACGGCATAAACAAACATGGGAAGTTCCAATAAAGCACAAATTCAAGATAAGATCGAATAGTTCCCTACTGTGCAGTCATATAATTGCCAGCGATTGTAAAACTGCAAAGCCATCGAGGTACTCCGTTCGGACGAATGCGCCCGACCACCGCCTTCTGTTCTGGGCGCCTTGATTGGCGGCAGAATCGCGTACATTCATCTCAATAACATAACGGCATCCGGCGAGATTCAACGCAGATTCACCAGGAGCCCAGGACACTCGCCGCACCCGTCTTTCATTTGCAGAGTGTTGCTGTGTTTCACGTCGGTAATATATTTTTTTCTTATTCAGTATGGCTGAAGAAAGTCATCCCTCGAAAAAGCGGCGTTTGGAGAACGGCTACACCTCAACACCGGAAACCTCTTCGGACGAGCTCGCAGCCAACTCCGAGGTTGAGCGGATGAGACAAAGCTGGGATGGAGAAATTCCTAATTCTTACAGATCGTCTGCAGGATACAAAAGAAATAATTCCGTCAGCCGCAGCCGCAGCGCGTCAGGGAGCCCAGATGAACTCGCAGAAAATGCCAGCTCTTATTGGCGGCGACGGAGGTCAGGAATAAATAGCATGGCATCCTCGCGAGGAAGTAGTCCGCAAGAGAGTGACCGTGGGGATGAATCTGAGGATGCCACACTTGAGGGGGAAGATAGAGAACGCTCGGTCAAACTCCCTTCATCGCCAACGCCCACACCGCTACCTCCATCTCCTCCACCCAAGCCCGAGCGATTATACTACAGAGAAAAGTATGTTTTGAAAGGTCACCAGTTAGGAGTGTCATCCGTCAAATTCTCTCCTGATGGATCTATGATCGCTAGTTGCTGTAAGGATAAAACTTGGATGAAATCTTTTTTATCACTTTTGTGGTTCTAATGCATTGGGAACAGCTGCGGATGCTACGATAAAAATATGGGATACAGCCAGTGGACGACTTATCCATACCTTCGAAGGACATTTGGCTGGCATTTCCACAATATCATGGAGCCCGGACGGAGCTCTAATAGCATCAGGTTCTGATGATAAGTCTATTAGATTGTGGCATGTCCCAACTGTGAGTTTTCGCCCCAATTGCACTTCCTTGCCAGGTGTATTTCATGTGCTAATTGACCTAATTTTCGCAGGGAAAACCACATCCCAACCCGTTTCTCGGCCACCACAACTACATATACTGCATCGCCTTCTCTCCGAAAGGAAACATGCTTGTCAGCGGTTCGTATGACGAAGCTGTGTATCTATGGGATGTCCGATCCGCACGGGTAATGCGGTCACTCCCAGCCCACTCCGATCCCGTTGCTGGTGTCGACGTCGTGCGCGACGGGACTCTCATTGTCTCATGTGCCAGTGACGGCCTCATCCGCATATGGGACACTGCCACAGGGCAATGTCTCCGCACGCTTGTTCACGAAGACAACCCGCCCGTTTCAGCTGTCAAATTCTCACCAAATGGCAAGTACGTACTCGCATGGACGCATGACGACTGCGTTAGATTGTGGGATTACGTTGAGGGACGATGCATCAAGACATACCAAGGGCATAAAAACAAGAAATATAGTCTTTCAGGTGCTTTTGGGGTATATGGTGCGCCTGGCGGAGAGGTTGTGGCGTTTGCAGCCAGCGGCAGTGAGGATGGGGCGGTGCTGTGTTGGGACGTGGTAAATAAAAAAGTGTTGCAGAAGCTGGAGGGGCATTCTGATGTTGTCTTGGGCGTTGACACCCATCATTCTGGGAAGAGGCGGCTAATTGCAAGCTGTGGTTTGGACAGGACTATACGAGTCTGGGAGGAGGAGGAGCCGCTTTTAGGGTCGAAAGATCAGAACAAGGCAGTGGGCGAGCTTCCAGAATGTGAGCCACCGGAAGATGAAGCACGTGTGAAAGGCGAAGCCGGCCTTGACATGGATGTTGATGGTGATACTGCTATGAGATAATGAATTTTTTGCTTTGGAGCGTCTTTTTCTCTTTTTTCAGAAATTTATGTTTTATGAAACCCTACCTGGCAAGATATGAGGCTGGCCGCATGTCGTGTAGCAATGAACTTCCGCTGCTTTACAAGATGCATATTCAAACATTCAAACACCATCGCCCAGGGATATTCTCTAAACGTCAACGTCGGGAATAATTAGTTACTGCCACAAAGGCTAGAAGCGCCGAGTATATAAGCCCTACATAATGAGCTGAGCTAAGAGAATGAAAAAAATAAAATAAAAATAAAAAAAGCGCATCTCCTCATTTTCATTCCGGCCAGTTTAGGCCCAAACAGTCAAAAATGCATCCCTGTCCACCCCAGTTGCGAGTTTCTAAGAACAAATCAGCGAGACAGGTGATATAGCTTATTTTGGGTGTGTTGATCATGCAACATCTGGGCTGCAGGTATGTATTTAGGTCTCCAGAGTTGGAGATTCCATCGCCACCCCTTTATAATAGATATAATAATGAGGGAAAACAATCATAAATTTTGTAAATTACTCCTAAACCTTAAATAACAGAGCCTGTTTCCATAGATGTGTATATACGCAGCGTATACAGTGTGTTTAGCTTTTCACATAACTGGGTTTAATTTAACTTACTGTCAATTCATCTTAAAAACCACAAGTTAAAATTTATCGTATTTTGGGGGGTATATAAGAGTATGACTACTGTAGATACAGGAATAACTATAAGAATAGACTTTACCTTCCAACCATCCATTGAGTCTAGTAATCAGGGAATAATAATAATGAACTGCAATTTAACTAAAATATCCCGAGACAAACCGAGAAGTGTCGTGGCGGTCCACACCTCTAAAACCCTAGTACAGAGATATTAGGTTTCGAAGAGGAAAAATCGCCAGTTAGATCGTTTTATAAGCCTTGCCGACGGAAGTCAAAGCGCCTCCTTTGACAAGATTATCGACGAAGAAAGAGGCATAGCGCTCCACGCCCGCATTCGAATCCAACCATGGAAGCACCTCCTTCAGAAAATTGACCTGCGCTTCCTCATCCCCTTGGCCTTCAAACTCGGTAACCCAGACAGTGCCAATTCCATACTTCTGGCCAAGTGCGATTGCCTCGCTAACGTAGCGTTTGAAATCATCCACATTTCCACTAGGGCCGTGCCAGTGGACAGCAAGGAAGTCGATCTTGCAGTTTCCGGCGCAGACGTCCAGGAATCCCTGCATCCAGCCAAGGCCCTTTGGAGGGGCCCCATTGGAAACGGCTGGAGAGCCAAGGCGGGCTCTAGCTGCGTACGGGTTCATGTACTTCTGATACGCCGCCGCGGCAGCTTCTGGAGACATATTGGCTTGTGAGGCTATATCGGGTTCGTTGAAAGCGAGTAGATTCTTGCTACCAGCAGCAATTCCTGCCTCCGCATCGGCGTTCCATGATCCGTAGCCCCTGGGACCCCAAAGCATGGGTACGTATTCAATGCCGGCGGTGTAACCCCCAGGCCTGGGTTCCCAGTTGTAGGACCAGGAGAAGGGACCTCCCTCGAATGCAGTAAGGAGGTTAATATTGTTGTAAGCAAGGCCTCGTTTTCCCGAACCTGGGTTAGCAGCAATAGTGTAATAATCCGCTGCAGGGGCGCAGGAAACAGCGCAAGCCAGCGCGCTTGTAACGAGGAGAGATTTGAACGACACCATGACTTGAATTCGAGTCAGAATCGGGATTAAGACCAAAAAAAGGCAACCTCCTGTTTCTCGTGGTGGGTGGAGAATGTATTTTTGCGTACCTGAAATGAAAAGGAGCGAAATTCCACAAGAATATGTTAAATTCGATTAGGAGGAAAATTATCGTTGGGTTGGTGGTGTGCGAGCGACATTGGGAGATGGAAAATGAACGGGATACGCTGCTATTTATGTGCGATGCACGATGGGTCCTTTGTAGATAAAGGTGCCGTAGAACGTAATCCGCTGTCATCTTGCGATTGATGGGAGTACCAAGGATAGAGCCAAGAGCTAGTGATAGATGATCCACTTGCTGGGGACCAAAACTAACACGATACGCAGGCATTTTAGGGCTGTTCGCACATGGTAGCGAAATATGCTAGTGGACGAAAAGGAGGAGCCTGCAGGCGCGAAGGAAATGCAAGTTTCTGGCAAAGTCATAAAAAGGGCTAGACCTCGCGTTCCTAGTTAGGATGTCTCCGGATGTTTTGGAGGAGACGCACGTTTTTTATTGTCGCTCTTAATCTATCCAAAGCTCGGGCGCACATTGGACAAAGATATGGTTTGTTTCTGGGTACTTTATTCGCAACACCACAGTCCACCTTAAACCCGGTAGCGAATGAACATGGCAAGGGTGGTAGGAATTGATAGTTCTAAAAATGTGTAATCCAAGGTTATTTCGGGGAAATCCATCCCTTCTGGAGTGGACAGCAAATGGGTTCGTAAATAGTGCCTCGTTCGTCGTGAGGCTCAAGACTGCCTCGACACATGGCTGCTCAGGTACCGGTGCACGTAATCCAAAGCGGGCATAGCGCCAAAACCTTATTTCATTGACCCTTGTTACCCACGTGCAGCCAAGACGCCAAGAATGATGTGCGCCGATCTTTGCAGGACAAATCAGCGGCAACCGCGATTGACAGCGCATGAATCAATCCTAGACGCGAGAAATCTGTTTCAATATGGGCACCAGGCAGTAGCTCCATAACAAAGAAAAGCAACCTTTGGAAAATCAAAGAAGCTGCATGAAATAGTGCTGTTCAAGTTGTCCTGATTAGCCAACACTTTGGGATCTTAATCTCATTGGTATGTATTGAGCCTCCTGTGAAAGTATATTATCCGTAAATTGTGGAGATTATAGTGCAGGACATTTTGGTGAGCTGAAGAATACCGCCGGACTAATATGTCAGTGCATCCCCACTGTAACAGTGATTTCTGCACCATTGCCGCGTTGAGGGGGAATGAATCAAAGGCTTTGTATGCTGCACGTGTGCCTGTTCGGCAACTGGTAGATGATTCTGCAACACTGTCTCTGGAGAGTACCCGAATATAGTATCATTTGACGGGCGTGAAAATCAGGGGTCGTTGGAAGTAGCCATCTGTATTTTAGCCTCGGGCTACCTGCGCAGTGCTGCACAATATGAAAAGCACCATAAATGCTTCGTATTGAAAGCAGTTGCCTGTTGCCGGAACAAAGTCTTCTGTAGAAAGGTCCCCCGAATCTTCAATAACCCAGGCGTCTTTCGCGTCAATAACATGCACATGCTACATGTAACTGCTGCCCGCTTAAGTAATGCTGTGGATTTGTTGAAGATATCAAAAAGGTCACCGCAGTATCCAAAAGTAAAATCAAAAGCTGCATTGAAGAATCTAGGAAAATTTCCTTGGATGTCTCCATGGATATTGCTTCACAACATCCGAAAGTATTGAGTGCGCGAAAGCACTATTCTTTCAACCACCACTTTTGGATGATGGCCCCTTTTTTTCACCTTGGCGTCTCCCCTCGAGCACTTTCATCACATCACTTACGCTATCCTTGTCGCCCTTCTTCTTCTTCGGGCCTCTCTTCCTTTTAGACCCCGCGCCGCGTCCCTCCGCTTCCCACCCACCCTCCTCATCCTCCTCATCCCCAAATCGACTTCCACCAAATCCAAGATCCAAGTCCATTGCATCTTCTCTTTCTCGTCTCTTGGCCTCTTCAAAAAACTTCTTGCGCTTTAGAGCAGCCTCTTGATCCAAATCAGCGTCATCACCAAGGGCCTCTGGAGCAGCCTGCCTAATGGCTGCTGCGCGTTTTAGTGCTGCAAGTATTGTTGGGTCGGCAGAAATAGGCGTAGGCTTGGTCGCAGTTTCTAGGTCTTCTTGGACGGTGGAAGACGTAGCAAAGTAATTCCGGGGTTTTGCTGGTTTAGGGGAGGTTGGTTCCTGCTGTGCGTAGCTCTCTTTGGCTACATCCAGATGAGGCAGCGAAGCTTTCTCTTTCGCTCCATCGTCTGCTTCGTCAGAAGACGAAGATTCGTCATCCTCATCATCTCCACCGGCAAGCGGGTTATAGTCCCTCCCGACTCCCTGGAAAATATCGTCGTATTCTTCCTCCACAGCGGCGGCTGCATTCGCCCGCGACAGAACTTCAGCAGGGACATCCATACCCAGTGGTTTCGCGTCTTTGTCAACTGGTAAAAGCCCACCGTCCCAAGATTTCTGCGCATGATCACCCAATTTATCAAGCCATCGAACTTTTCTCTTTGTCTTCCCCTCAGCATCAGTAGTGAGCAGGACCTCTCGTTGTCTGCCGTGTTCATCCTTTTCAATCCATCGTCTTTTCTCAGGCCTTGTTCCTATTTTCTTAAATTTTTCACCCAGCGGAGGAGCGGGAGGCTCAGAGGGGGTACATTGCACGCCACCAGCGGCCCGAGAAGCTTTCAACTCCTTCAAAATCTCATCTCGTGTCATTCTCCTGCCAGTATCTGGGGTTGAAGAAGACATAGTCCCCTTCTTAACCTTCTCAACCTTCTGCGCCGGCTCCTTCACTTCCTTCTCCTTCTCTGCAAGGACCATGTCAAACTCCTCATCAATATCCTGAAAGGTCTCCTGTTGCGGTTGCCCCGACACGTCTCCCTCAGGCCCGCTAGGAGGGGGTGCGTTTATATCCTCTCCGGCCTTAACTCTCCTTAACAATTTCCAATCCAACCCCTTGATCAAATGCGTACTTTTCACATCGCCTCCAACCCCAATCTTCTCCCTAAGTTTCTCAAACGTAGGCTGATCGACTTGGCCAAGTTTAACCATATCTTCCAACGCTCGAATCCTGGTCTCTAGATCATCATCTCCACGAACGCCCTTACCACCTTCCTCAGCATTCTCTGCTTCATCCTGGCCTGCCCGTCGTAGAAGTGTCCTATCCTGGTATCCCTCGGCCAACTTTGCACCTTTAGGAGCAGCGGACGATCTGAATTTCTTTGCGAGGGATGGTTGCGATTCACGGCGATGTTCGGCTAATTGGCGTGCAAAATCTACGCCGGTGACTGATCGACTGCATGGGTAAAGACGACAGTAAAAATGTTAGTCCTAGATGTTCAACGCAAGCAACCTGGGCAGCAGAGCTTGAACTGTGGGTATGGGGGGGCATGCGTACGGTGTCATGGGAATGCTCGATCTCATCTTAGATCCCAAAGCTGCTGGCTTTGAGCGAGTTGAATCCCCGCCAACAGGGGATGTCCGGTTGGTAGGTGAAGCGTCATGGCCCTTTTTCTGTTGATTTTCGAAGAGCAGGCGACGAAATTGCTCGTTGTTCATGGTCACACAGCCCGCACAGCCCGCTATGATTTAGTGATCTTGTATCTCTTTATTTAAAAAGTTTTCAAAAGAACCACATCATTTACGTTTCATGTAAAAAGGGAAAAATAAAAATAAAAAGAAACCAGTTGAGTGTCAGTAAACGTAAGCGGGTTATGTATGGCCTTGCTGTTTTGTAGATGAAGATGGTTTGAGGAGCTTCGGCCGAGCTTGACGCGAGGCGATTGGGATTACGTAATCAACAATCTCGTCCTTGCCTTACATATCGTGATAGATACACGGGGGATTAAGCACTATCGAATGGAGAAATAAGTGTACCGGAAGAAGAGTGACAGGTAGAGCACACAAAGAAGGATATTCACTTAAAAGCTTTCTTAGTTAATACAATAAAAACGAAGAGCACGTCCGAAAAATAAACGGGGGAAATGAAAACGCAAACCAAAAATGAATCCAACGGTTTGCACTGTTCAACCAAAAGAGGGTGAGAAATTCATGACTCAATCACAAAACATATTATGCCCAGCATGCCCAAGCGTTTCAATTCCAAATTTCCAATCCCAAACATAGCAACATGCAAAACTTAGATAGTCTCCCATCCCCCGTTATTAATCTCTGCCTCTAGCCTTCTACTAATCACGGCAGGTACTCCATGCGCCAGCCACACGTCGCGGAGAAGCCGATCATACCGCTTCTGATTCAATATCAGGCGTCTATGATGTCTGAAACCTGGGTCAACTTCGCCATGAATATCCAGGTAAGGGGCATGATGCCAGGAACCACTCTTGTTATGGAGGAACAAGACCATGCATTTGCGGATATTGATGAAGAGGCCGATGTTCCCACCGCATCTATTATAATTACAAAAGCAATCGTTAGTAACTTGGGCACGAATTCAAGCTTGAAATTAGCTGAGCATGCGGGAAACGTGGGAAAAATTGTACATACTTAGCAACATGACGATTACAGCCACCCAGTTTCCGATCACCCAGAGGTCGACAGCAAACGGCCTGTGAGCAGAAGATGTCACCACAGAAGAGACAAATGCTTGGATCCGTGAGTTCTTTGCCAGTAGTTTTGCAACGGCGCCTCGTAGCCTCGTCTAAAAGGGTGTCAAAATACTTGGGAAGGCCCACTAGCTCGAAAATCGCAGGGTGCGGAAGTGACAAGGTAGCCAGTTGTTGCTGATCTTGTTGCTCCTGCTGCTCCTCCTGTTCATCATCGTCCGTTTCAGGCAACCAGGAAATGAAATGCGAAATCCACCCAGAAACTAGCTGCGCCATGCAATTCTCGTTATCTTCTCCGTCGTTCTTGACCAGCGAATCGAAAATGCTATCGATGGATGGAAGATTGAGTAGCGTCGCAAGGCGGTCAATCTCTGCCAAGTCGTTATAGTCGGAACCGGTATTAGGGAATTCGACCCCAAACTGAACATGGAGTAAAATCACGGCTTTTCGGAGGAAAGGGAGAGCATATATGTCAATTAGTCGCCGGAGGCTCTTCAACGTTTCGATCGAGACGTCCTCAGCGTGCTTAAGAAGATAGGAGCTTCCTTCCTCAGGCAATGTGCTATCGACTAATGACGCCCGGTACGTCTTCACAAGCCAATCAAACATAGCACGCGTCAAGGATTCATGTGGGCCCATGGGATCATCGTCTGTAGATGATTCCGAACCATGATTTTCCAACACTTCAAGGAAGCCCTTTGGTTGCAAAATATATCCTAGGAAGGTCTTTACGATTTCCGCGATATAGCACAGACGAACGACGTGGAGAATGTCAAGATTCAGCACAGGAACTATGCACAGCGAGCATTCAGAAAGGAACACGAAACTATCCTGCCGAAGTAACGGTTCGATGGACTTGTTTTCATAAGCTAGGTCAGATAAACCTGACAGTTCCGGGTGCCCGACGAATAGCTGACAGAGTCTCCGTCGATGCATATCCCTAAATTCATAGACGGTTTTATTTGTCGTCGTAGTGTTTAGTCCTCCGATTGAGCAGTACGAAAAAGCAGTTTCCGATAGAACACGAAGGTGAGTTAAGGTCATCTGCGGAATTTGAGCTAATAACGTGGTGCCACCTTCAGATCCAACACCCCGTTGCGCAATTTCCGCCGCTGTAATGGAAAGCCCAAGGCTTCTGAGCAGGACGTCAGTATGGATAAGGTCGTCCGATACATTCCCCTGATACCCGAATTGTGACTGGATTCCGTTGGTGCGGATGGTATCTCTCAGCCTTTTGTAGATAGTAACAAGCTCCGCGACCATGGAGTCGCTGGCTGTCGTGGTGGAAATAGTAGTTTGTTGCGTAGGAGGAGGTTCCATGGAGGTGATTTCATCTGCTGGAGGGTATAAGCCTGGCATTTGCAGCCTGGTCGGTTGTGGGAAAGATAGCAGTTCCGGAAGGGTGGGTGTTGCCAATTGATTCACCTTGTGGGACAAGGGGGTTATAAAATTCTTAGATACGTAATCGACGAACAATTCCTGATATCCCGAAGAATAAAGCTTATCACTCTCCATGATCAGAGCATGATTTCGGAATCTAGTCACAGAGTACACCAGGGTTTCGTTCAAGAATTCATCGAAAGAGTCTATCGTGCTTAACGCTCCAGGGTAGGACTCCTCCTTGCCCTTCCAAATGATTGGTAGGAAGGCATTTCCTAGAGCCTTGCACAGTGGACACACAAATTCATTGAGACGTAACCTTTCAGGTTGATTGCGAGCAACCTGATGTTGATGCCTCCTTTGCGCGGCGGCATAATAATCCTCGAAGCAGTGGTAGTGCATAATATGTCCGCAACCCGTCGTAACGGGGCCTTCTATTGTGTGCTTCGGCTTGAAGCCTTTACCCAAACCCTGCTTTTCTGTAATTACTTCACCTCCTGTCGAATCAAGGCTCCGTATCATTTTTCGATTCTCTCTAGCAACACCAAAGGGACGAATATTCTCGGCAGAACGGTCGAGACTCGAAGGGACTTTCAATACTTCTCCAACATAACTCGAGTCTTCCATGTCAGTTTGTCGGAAAAGTCTGCTATTTGCCATGAAAGCGAAGGTTCCGTAAATGCGCAAATCGTTAGTATCTTCCTGGCACAGAATACATCGACCATCTGGGTACTTCCACAGCTTCTTTTCGGTGGGACTGAGAATGCTCGGCTCTCCAGTCTCGCTCATATCATCATCCTCGCCCCAGTCAATAGAACCCTGTGCCTGCAAAAAGTTTTGCTGCTGCTGCTGGAACTGAGCCATCACTTTCGCCTGTCGATCGAGTGCTTGTTTCTTTTTAAGCTCGAGCTCGCTCTCCGTCCTGACAGCCGGCGATGGAGTCTCGATATTATCGAATGGGAATTTAAGAGCAATTGTGGCAGCAGCATAAGACTTTGGGCGCTTCTGCCAAAATTTCTTCAAAATGTGACGAATCTTTGGTCCACAGGAGGAAAATTCAGGCACCGTTGATATATTTTGAAGCAAGCCGATAATGCCTATCTCCGCGGTTTTAGTAAACTTGGTCCTGAACAGAGCGTGGTAGATGAAAGACTCCGTCGAGTCAGGTTGTCCCGCAGCATTGTCATGCGCGTCATCTTCAAGGACGTGATCTTCGAGGGTAGCTAAGAGAATCAGGTGAAGGACCAGATGCAAGAGTGTCTCGATCCTCGTGACAGTGATTGATTTGGTTACAGTATCGGCCGTCAAACAGTAGTCCAGGCAGTGATGAATGACTTGAGCAAACAATGGAGTTTGGGTAAAGTCAGAAAGCCCAACATAGGCTCCCGACCGTATCACGCGAAGTTTCGGCTCGAACACAATTGACGATGCATCTTTGCCTGTCTTCTTCGCCATCCACTGCTTATATGAGTTCTCGGCCTCTTCTCTCTGGTTCTTAGTATAGTATGTGCAGTATGGATCCACGAGATCGAGATAATCAGGCTTCAATTCAAAAGTGCCTGTATCATTCATGCCTTCAGGGGGACGGAACGTAGCGACCTCAGCCAACACCTCCTGTAAATTGCCCGATTCTCCAGACTTATCACTCATGCGAATGGTCAAGTCAGTATACGACAGCGGCTTGAAACATAGTGCATGCGCAATATCTCTAGCCATAGTACTATTCCGAGCATTGTCGCCATCGTCCACGCCTGTCAGCGACGTTCGATCGGTGACCAAGACGATCATTAAATGAATCATCTCTTCCAGAATATCCACATGTTTGGCATCGTCATAGCCAGGTCTAGTCGCATAGCCGCCTCGCATCCAGTCCCCAACACCGAAACGGTCAATCATGCTCGCAAGAAACCTACTAGGATCACAAACGACAAAAGCAGTCTGCAGCAAAAAGAGATCCCGATAAAATGCCATTTCACGGGTGGTAACTGCACGATACTGACCCATTTGATGTCGAAGACTGAGCCCATTTCTCACCCACATCCCAGCTTTCATCTGTGCGAGCCACGCACACACCCGCAAGGGGTAATCAAACATGGTGAGTAAAATATCATCCAGACTAAGATTTGGGATGGGCGTATCGACTAGTTGCTGAGATTTAACCATCCCCGCGGTGCGGAGTAGCACATCTCTCATTTTATCTTGTGACATATCCCGTCCACATTCCAACAGCCAGGAGAGTGTATAATGGAGTGCATGATGGAAACTGATCGCACCGCGCTCCACCGCAAATTCGACGATTCGATGGTGCGAAACCTTCTGGAAAGCGTCTTTTTCGAATTCGACGTATGAAACAGACTTGAAGCGGACGTAGTCTTTAATCTCAGCTTGGTTAAAGCGATGTTGCTCCACCCCTAGTGAGTTAACCATCGTTGAATAAGCGGCAGTAGCTATTGCATCATAGATGTGAGCAGCGTCTTCTTCCGATTCGTTTTTACGGAAGGCTTCACAGAACAGACGGCACAAGCGATTAATTTCGCGCATCAGAATAGATGCCCCAATCCAGCCTTCAGTCTCATATTCAACGTGGGCTTCGACTGCGCGAACATTCGGGCAAATGCCTGCGGGAGTTTAACGAGGTCCAGGAACTGATTTAGATACTGACGCTCATTACGGATCCGACTCTTGACATGATCAGATAGAAGGAGATAGCGCAGGTCAAGGAAGAAATGGTATAGTCGTCTGTTAGTTACCGAGCCAGTGTCTATTGAGAGAGTCGCGTTAGGGTTAACATCTTGGGGTTCCCCGACCTGGCGAGTGGTAAGGAAGGTATAAAGAATAGCCATAATATTCGTCAAGAAGTTCCCCCGTTCGACAATTTCTTCGGTTATAGAAGGGGTTGTCAATAGTTGTAGAGAAAGGTTAATGATAGAATGGTCTGGTTCCCGATCCGCGATCAGATACAACTGGGCGAGAGCGGTATATAAAGCAGAGAACCGCAGACCGAGGATGCGTTTGAACTGCGGTATGTTGACGACGGTACCTAGGCATAGTTCCCGAACGTCCGTCCTGGTTTTCTTCCATAGCCTCAAGTCGAAGAGGATAATCCAATCAAGTCTTGTCCTCTTCCGCAAATCTTCATAGGGGGTTAGATTTTCATTATGGTAAAATCGCCGAGGCTTAATCTCCCAGTAAGAAGGTGCTCCCTCAGAAGGTTCGCATCTCACGCCGGGAGTTTGAGGAATATTGATTTTTCCACCAGAAACGGAACCCGTAGAACCCTCACTGCCAGGGCCGGTAGGTGCAATGGGGGTATCAATGCCTTGGTCAACTGCTTGCTGAGGAGGTTGTGGTGGTGGGGGTGGGGGTGGAGGTGGTGGATATCCAGCGAAAGTAGCCTCCTCGGCTTCCAGGTCGTCGTCCGCCATTTCAGCGTCGGCATTAATAGTGTTTGCCCTTGCTTCTATGGCTTCTACAACTTGTCCCAGGTTACGCCGAACGTGCTCGGCTTCATCCATCTCCTCATCCCCATCACCCTCAATTCCATTATCGTCATCCTGCTCTCCATCCATTTCTTGGTCTTCTTCCCCTGCGTCCTGATCACCGAGATTCAGATCATCAGCAGTCATGGGAAGCTGCACAAAGGGCCCCCCCGGGAACGATGGCAACTCGTACAGAGTAATTCCTCGACCTATCCTCCTCCTCGTTATCATAGATACCGTGCTTCCCAATGTCGGCATTTGATGCACTGCTTCCAAGTCTCCAAGGTTGAATCATCTGATCGCACACAGTCTGCCTGAGCAGGTGATTGTCCTCTCCAATGGAACAGGACGCAATATCAGAAAGCCACTCAATAATAGTCCCACACATCTGCTCTCGGTACGTATCTCTCGCAGATCTTAACGTGACAGTAACCCTAATCTGCTCGATGATCTTCGACACCGAAAGTAGGCTTTCCAAATCCTTCGAGTATCTCACCACACTCCTCCCAATCTCATGAGTCTCGTTGGCCTTCTCTATCCCGAATTTAGACCCCTCTCGACAGGCACGCGACAGTTGATTCGCAACCTCGGTAACAGTATGTTTCTCGTCATTCCAGAGGACAAGTGCAAACTCAGGCTCCTCTTCGACAGGATCACTCCCACCATACCATTCTGCCGATAGCCTCGATGCCGCCTCGTCCTCCCTGATGCCATTTTCAGTCTTTGGAAGCCTCAGTTGCTCTGGAGAACACGAGATAACATCGCAGAAATAGTCATAAACCCTGCTGATCGTTGTAGTAACACTTTCCACCAATTCAGCAGGCGTCTGCGCAGCAGACGACGATGCCGACGACTTCCCTGCCCCCTCAACGTCCTGCGGCATCTCCGTATGTATAGCACATAGAACAGGGACCTTAAACGCCTCCTCGTCGCCACAGTCACAGCACCCATTATACCCACTAGATAACGAAATAGAATACTTGTGGCCCGTATGATCTGAAGAATCGAAGCAGCGCGTACACAGCGCGCATGTATCGTCTATAGAGCAAGTCATGCAATGGTATGAAGCTTCGCCGTTTTTGAAAATGTGCCCGCACCGTTTCCCACGTGCAGCTTCGGTATATTCAGCCCCTTCAACGGCACCCTGAACTTCAGACAACTTCCATTTACCGTCTGCAAAGCCGTCGGGGAAGAGCAGGCGGAGATATTCTTCATTGTAGCCAGTTAGGGAGTGGAAGAGGAGCTCGAGGAGGTCTTGGCTGGCTTCCTTAGTGTAGCGGTAACCATGTCGGGAGGGATGCTCCAGCAGAGCCCGGCCGAGTCTCCGTTCAAGATTCGACAACATGGTACTGCTGTATGTTGTTTTTATCTCACCTTCGTTAAGGTCATTTATATCGTATTGTCCCGTGACTTAAAATTATGGTGCCGCGAGGTTGTGGATTTCGTATGTCCGGTTGGGTTGAGTGGTTGGTGGTGGGGAGGCGAAAGAGGGGACTCGGAGAGTTTGGGCGTAAGATGAAGAAAGTGAGAAAAAGTTTGCAAATGAATAACTAAGAGTTGAGGATATTAACTGCAAAAGGAAAACAGTAATAGGCAGTGAAGAGAACTATGAAAGCGATGGGAGTTGGTGAAAGCGTTTGTTGATGGTTGATGTTGGATTGGATATCAAGTCAAGTATTTACTTTGTTTGCTTCCCCACCATATGATGTTTTGGTATCAATATTTATTTAAGTCTATCAGAACAGTAAGCAGCCACAACCGCAGCATAACACCACCTACATTATTTACTTGCTCTAAATATGCGCCAAATGCACTAAATTCAAAAATAATTCGCTGAGTTGGCTACGGATCTCGCCCAGAGGTACGTTCATGTTCTGAGTTTTGTTTAGCTGTTAGCCACGGAGGGTCCCGATAACGCCACTCGCATAGTTCCTCCATACAAGGGAAGAGCGATCAATATAGAGCTCGCAGGCTCTAATTCTCAGCTACTACAATTTTATTCAAGTACGATTGAAGGGCAGCTCAGATGGCCACACATGGCGGACCCGTATCTTGTCAAAAACATATATGAATTTTTGTATAATGCCACAGGGTCTAATTTGTACATGTACAGTACAATTCCTTCTCACTTCCAAGTCAAGCTTCTTTCCAGAGGAGAACAGAGCACACCTCTAAAATCAATATCTTCCAGTTTTCCCTCGTCTATTCCTCTTCCTCAGCCGCCTGAATGTACTGGTGTCGGATATCCTTCCATTGTCTCTGTACACAGGTGCCAAAATCAGCCAATCAAAGTCCTAGAATCGGTCAAACTGGGGAAGCCGAGTAGTTGTGTACATACACCCTTATTTATGGAATCAAATATCCGGTCACTGATGGTGTCGAATGCTCTATTATTTTAATAACCAAGGACAGAAATTGTCAGCTTCAATCCCACCCAATATGCGCAAAAGCTCAAGTTTTCTTCATATAAACATAGCCATCAACGTACATTTCAAACACGAAGGCTCCGACAAACATCGACGTCAGGAACGTGGTATTCCGTCGGAAGAGGGAGCTAAATAAGGGTTGAAGATTAGCGCTTCATCCAGCTAGAAGACGGTATAGTCTGCAAGTGTAGAGAGTTAGGATGCAGGGAGGGCTTGCTTGTATATCATTCCGGAGATCTGTGGAAATGTAGGGTGTTTGTGTTAGCACAATCCATCTAGTGGACAAACGTGGGAATAGAGCTTTGGCTAAGGAATTGGGGTATCACATACTCCAGCCATGGTGAGAGAGGTATGAGGTTTCGACGAGGAAATTGCTATGCGGGCCACAATTGCGTCAGAGGATAGTTATGCGACAAGTTGGATGTGTAGACTCGATCTATTCGCAGGTTGAAGAATGTAGGAAAGAAGAGGAACGGCGTCGGGAATTAAATAAACAGGCGGTGATTGGCCCAGCCGAGGTTCCGCCTTGGATTCTGCCAACCCGGAAAAAGCAACATCCAATGAGTCGAATATACATACCACCAGTGCTTTCACTCCACTTAACAACACATGCGCTGGCAGGGTGAAGCTGCTGTTGACTCTGACTCCATTGGATTCATAATTGCTGGACGCGTATATCCATTTAATATAAGTATCTCTGTCTGAACTCTCATTCCGACCCCTTCGCGAGGAGGGCCACGCCCACGCCCACGCCCACGCCCACGCCCACGCCCACGCCCACGCCCACGCCCACGCCCACAACACCACCTGATACCACGTATATATATATACATCTTCGTCTTGCACACCATGCCAAAGCCGGAAACAGAACCCGTTTCCTCTTCAGGAATAACAGTCAATGCCTTAACTGGCGAGCGCCACATTCCCGCTTCCGTACGCCCTGACGGCTCCCAGCGCCGTGAAATCAAAATTCGCCCCGGCTACCGACCACCCGAGGATATCCAGGTGTACAAAAACCGTACAGCTGAGGTGTGGAAGAATCGGGGCAAGGGCGGTGTTCCTGGTGCAGAGGGTTTAAAAGAGGAATCTACCAATTCAACTACAGCTACCGCTGCAAGTAATAAGAATGCGAAGAAGCGGGAGGCAAAGCGAAGGGCGAAGGCTGCGGAGGGCGAGAATGATATGACTACAACCTCTGGAAAGACAGAAGGAGCGACCACAGACAAGGCAACGGGGAACGATAATTGGAGAGAAAGGAGGGAAGAAGAAAAACCTAGCTCTGGCACCGACACCGTTCTGAACGCTGAGGCTGAGAAGGAGAAGAAAGCGCGCAACCTACGCAAAAAACTGAGGCAGGCAAGGGAGCTAAGGGAGAAGAAGGATAATGGCGAGAATCTGCTTCCGGAGCAGTTTGAGAAAGTTATTAAGATTCAGGAATTGGTGAGGCAATTGGATGCGTTGGGGTTTGATACAGAGGGGGAAAAGAAGAAGACGAGTGGGGATCTAAATCCCTGAATGGCCGGGAATATCCTGTCTGCGAAGGCTACAGTACTCTTGTGTGATTTCTTTCTAAAATTTTCGTTTTTGAAGGTGGTATGCGACGGATGTTTTTCGGGACGCCTTCGAAGGAGGAAAGAGGGGGAGTTAACGATAAAGATCCTATGATACTATCATACGAAGTTGAGCACCCGAACGGTGTGACAGAACCCTCATGCCATCGTTGTGTGGACTCAGCTACGCACCCTGTCGACAGGCCATCGATACCATTACCGGCATGACACCATTCTTACCATTCTTACCATTAGCCATGCCGATTTGTGAAGGGCCTCTGATTGCATGTTGGAGAGACAAGTTCAACTCAGATGTGGAGATTGGGGAGGGATACATTTTGATGGTGAATAATATGAGTGAAGTCCTGGGCTTGAAAGGGCTATGCACATGCAATTGAATGAATAGTTGCAACACCAAGAAACAAACCCAGGGGAAATATCGACGGATAGGAGATGGCAAACAATACAGGTACGAACAAGAGCGTACCCTGATATCTCGGTGGCATATAGTCAATGAATCGGACTTTTCGCGCCTAAAAAGGGGTATATGAATTTTAATCTCTATTTCTATCTGACAATAAGTTCAGCTCGAAGCCGCAATGGAGAAGAAGACCAAAACCATATGTATTTCCACCTTTAATATACATCACACAAGAAGAAACCCCTCTCAAATAATCATACACTCACTCCTCCTCCTCCTCCTGCACTTTCAAAGCAGGAAACCTCCCTTTAAAATTCTCTGATGTATATCTCTCCAATCCCGTAGTCCCGTCCCGCCCCTCTAGCGTCGCCGCGGCCACAATTCTCCCAGCCCGTATTGCGTCATTAACCCCAACACCCGTATACCACGCCCCAGCAACCTTCAATCTCCCCTCAAACCGGCGCTCCAAAGCGTCATGCAGCTGTTCCATCCGCATCACTTGTCCAATCGTCGGCTGGGGAATCGCATCCCTCTGCAACCGCGCTTTGGCAACAACAGGTTCGTCAGCGATGCCCAGATGCCTCGCCAGCACCGATTTGGCCATGGCGATGGCGCTCTCTTCATTCGGCAGGTCTGAGAGGAGCCAGTCATCCCACCAATGACCGCCAAGCATGACGGTGAGCTTTGTACCGGGAGGGTCGGCAGTGTCCTGCCCGGCGCTACTATCTGAGGCGAAGATAACGCCGAGTGCGCGTTCGGGGTTTAGATCAAAGGGGACAGAGCGTGGGATTAAGTAGCCAAAGCCGCGGGTGGGGATTAGATTTGGGTTTTTGTAGTAGAGGTTGACGACCATGACGGTAACAGCGTAGTCATTTTCATCGAGAAGGTCGGTTACGGATGTTGGAGGTTGGTTCGTTCCTGAGGCAAGGAGTTGCTGGGAGAGGGCCGCGGAAGTTGTCGTGGATATTACATAGTCGTAGTCGGAAGCGGTACCATCATCAAGGCCAACCTATAGAATAGTGACATGCGGTTAGCAAGAAATGGAGAGGAATCGGGTGTGGTATCTGACGTACAGTCATAGATGCTGAATCCTCCCCCCTCCTAGAGATAGACTTAATCTCGGCACCCGTCTTAATTTCCACATTCGATGCACCCCTTAACGACGACTCTAATGCTGTGGAGAGCTGCCCCATACCCCGCCGCAAGGTAAAAACATTATTACCCTTTGCAAACCGACGAATCTCATTATATTTCTCCTTCTCAACCAACCGACGAGCCATGGCAATATCATATGGCATAGAAAGTTTTAGTTGGTTAGCCTGATCCATCAACTCCGTCGCAAACCCTCGTTCAGAGAGCTCGAACTCATCCCAGGCGACGCGCAAAATCGACCGCGCGCTGAGTCTGTATAGATCGCCAGCATAGATGCCATGGAAAAACGCAGACCCAACAACATCTGCCGCGTTCGGCCCAAAACGGCGCTTGATAAAATCGCCGATGGACTCGTCAGATATTGCTGGGTCGCGGACGGGCCGTCTAGGCTCCAAAATCACTTCCATCGCAAGTCTCCTGAGCACGGGCTCTGAAATTAGTTGCATAACATTCATAATAACGTTTCCCAGTACGCCAGCGCCGGGATACGGACCCGGTAAACGCACGAGGTGGTCTGGGTAGTAAATGTATCGGTTGCGGGCAGCGGGGGAATCTGTCTTGGTTGAGATAATATCGTCTTTGAGGCCTAGATCGAATAACTAAAACGCTCACAATGACATACACATTAGTTTCGAGAATATCTTTGGTAAACTCAGAATGGGGATTTGTGCGCTATCTTACCAGCTCCAACGTCGACATGCTGCCTTCCAATCCCGCGCGGAGTGTTCTAGGTCCGTATTCAAAGAGCACTTCCCCACCATCAACATCGATTATTTCCGATTGCAACCAACCACCAAGCTTCGGAGCCTTCTCATAAAGTGTAACCCGTGCATCTTGATCTTGAGAGAGACGGAATGCAGTTGACAGGCCAGTAACACCGGCCCCTATTACAGCAACGTTTTTCTGATGTATGCTCGGATCGGAGGTGAAGCGTCGAACTGGAGCTGTGCGGGATGTGATTAATCGTCTAGGCCGAGGCAATGGCCGTATTCCGGGGCGAGCATGCGCCCATAGCTCGTCTATGGTGCGGCAATGTAAACATCGTGGACGCATGGCAATGAGAAATTATGGTAATTATGTACTGTGGCCTCAGTCCTTGAGGGTTGCTGGCTCGGGCAGTTTTGTTTGCGGCGATTGCTGGTCTTGGAAATGAGCTAAAATTTAGGTTTCTGGGCCTCAATCTCTCCCCATGTTTTGCACATTATTTCTATCGGAGTTCCAAAAACTCTACTGTTCATGGTATTTTTTTTATACTTCCTTTCAAACAATCCGAAAATCGTAATTCCAGATACTAAATGTTTACCAAATCATCTCGAAAACCATCGCCAACCCCGGCCAAATAAAAGAGGGTAATGTGGATGAAGCCAGACAGGCTCGGATTGCAGGGGAAATGGTGACAGGATTTTATGGAGCACTATGTAAAAGATGTTACATACATACATAGAACTCAATTAGATAAGAAACCGTCTCGATGTCCTATGGGCGGGCCGTGGGGGTAGGAGGAGAGCAAAAAATTACTGAGCCAAGTTGGTAACGTAGGAACTTGTAAGGGCCTCAAAAGGGGTCGAATAGCGAAACAAACTCAAAGCACAGAACTTTCTGGGTTGCTGTAAAAAATCAGAGAATATAATAATAATGTGCACAGTGATGTACTGTGGGGAAGAAAAAAGAAAAGAAATCCGTTTGAACGTCCATTGTTATTCACTCTCCAGGATATATTTTGCTACTACATAGCCTGCAAGGTTATCAACGCCTCGTACAAAATCAAATCTGACATACAAAATAAGAGTTAATAAGCTTCAAGACGATGTTCCGCGTACGGAGTAGTAGTTGAACAAATACGGTTCATCTGATACTAAATTTATTGGCCATCTGTTTCTTTTCTCTTCATCGGACGAGATGGCATAAAATAGGGGTTAGGTAAGAGGATAATGAAACATCCCTTCTATACTCCGTAGTTATATATAAAAATAATGGGGAAAGGAAAAGGAAAAGGAAACTTCATTCCTCATGAAAGAGAAAACCCCGTTTCTGAATGAAGAAAATCAATAAAAATAAAATAAAATAATCATACATGATCTAAAAACTTCTCATCATTCTCCAATATGTTTGAACGCCCATATTCCCCATATTACCATTTGAAATCCCCCTTTTTGGGAAAAAAAAAAAAAAAACCCTCGACTGCAGCACCCCTTATCCAAACGCCGATCATGCCAGGGGGTACAACCCCAGTTAAAACTTGGAAGCGAGGCAAGGTTGAATACATGGTTAGGGAGGAAGGAAGGAAGGAAACCCCGGGAAGAAAGGAAATCAAAAAGGAAAACGAGATTCTCAAAATATGGTGGTCTTTATAAACAGGTGATAAACAGCGGCCGCACGGGTGTGGGGTGGCGGTTAGGAAATTAAAAAACCCGCGATATATATAAAATGAAAACGAAATTGAACCGGAAAATTATAAAGGAGGTGTATCAAGTCAAAATCTCGTGGCCCTTCGCTTCGTCTGCATCGATGGATGTATCGGCGGCCGCAGCAGTCCCAGGCTTAATAAGCTCCTCCTCCCCATCCTCATCGGTCACGAATCTTCGTTCACTAACGTGCTCCTTCTTCGCATCATCACCTGCTCTCCATACTTTATCCGCAAACACACCCCGCTGGCCCTCCGCATGCTTATACGGGCATATCCGGTTAAGACACGGGTTGAATTTGCAGGAGATTTGCAGATGTGTGTATTTGCAGTTTGGTGTCGTGCAGTCCGCGCCATTTCGGCACATGGGCATGCTCGGATGCTTGAATGTGCAGTTTGGGTTCGTGCAGTGTGGGAAGAATCGGCAGAGTTCTTCGGATTGGTGTTCGATCTTTTGGGCGGGGGAAGGGTGTCGGGCGGCGCATTTCCGATTTTTGCATGCTGCTCCGAACGGACATTCGTCATTCACGTCGACGACCATGCCTTCAGGGGCGGCGGGGGATTGATGCGCGTAAGGGCAGTCTTTCCGTGTGCATTTCAGGTTAAATCGGCAAACAGTGTTGGGGCCTGGTTCTGTGGCTTGGGTTTCGTGTGCAGCATCAACGTCCATGGAAGAACCTGGAGCACCTTGTGATGTGTCCATTTCAACGTCGACGTTTGCAGCTGGTCGGTGGAATTTTGAAGAATGGCCGTTCGCGTGCTCCGGTCGACCGAAGGGCTGGTTCGGGTTCGGGTTGATCTCCGCTCGTTCAAACAGGGAGCGTCCTTGTTGGCCCGGAGGCGGGCCGCTCTGAAATGCGGGGTTAATCGCCGGTGGAACCATGCCGGGCATAATCTGAGCCATCATTCGAGCTTGTTCTTCTAGCATAGCCATCATCTGCATCTGTTGTTGAGGACTCAACGACACCATTCCTGGTGCCGTGTGTGCCGTGTTTGGCATCTGAGCACCGCCCATTCCCATTCCCATGCCCATGCCCATTCCCATTCCCATTCCCATTCCCATCGGGGCGCTAGTCCTTCCCGGAAGCATACGTCCGTTTCTCCACTGAAACCCTCTTGGGCCTTTCGGGAGATCTCTCGCGTGACTGTTGATTCTTTCTGAACCTTGGTGATTGCGTACCCTGTGCAGAACTGACTCATTCGGTCGGTCCATAGCTTTATTTATTTGCCCCATCATCCGGCCTCGTCCGCCTTGCTGCTGGTGTCGGAGGTTTCGGGCAGCTTTGGGACCAGTGGGACTGTCCAAGTTCAAAATTAATTAGCTACAGATGAAAATTAACAAAAGGAGAGGTAGGAAGCGGCATCGTACATATTACCATCCTGCACCGCGTTGGTGACATCTCCGCCCATTTCAGAATCTCCCATATCTCCCATTCCGGTTGGTAAGGATGAGCTGTCCTGCTGCTCTGAAATGGAAGGAATAGCTTGCGACTGGGCCTGTTGCGCTGTCTTCTCCGGGGCGCCATTTATCTTGTTGTTTAGTTCATGGACCTGTTCAAATAGCCATTTCGCAAAATCAACCGCTTCCGTATCTTCCGGGCCTAGGCTTAGGAGGTCGTTTGCAAGCTCTGCAGCAATTTGATCCTGAGTTTTCCCGTTTACAAGCATGAGGATGACGTATTCTGCGAGCGCGGAGTCGTCGCCCCCGCCGGTGCTCCAACCCACCTCCACTAGCTTCGGTTGCACGGCCTCGTTTAGGGCCTCTGCAAGGGGAGTTCCGAGCTTGATGGAAACCGACATGGTCGCGGAGCGCGCGTTCGTGTGGAGATAGTACCCGGTAGCTAAGAGATGTGGCAAGGGTGGACGGGATAGAGGCCTTGTGAAATAGAAGAATGGTGGAGAAGCACGGGGGTAAAGTAAATGACGGGGGGCAATATCTCTATTTGGTATGTAATAGGCGCAGAGAGGTTTGCAGCATCGAGAGCGTCCGGAGTAGGAGGGTCCGCAGCAAACGACGAATATTGAGGATGGTGAACTTATTACTGCTCAACATGGCGTCGTTGAATAAAAGCTTACGGTGAAAGTTCGCAGTGAAGTCGAGACTTGCCCGATTGGGACATGTTACGGCAGCACAAAGAAGCCACAAACGTCACCCAGGATGCTGAGTCAGAGTTGAGTCAGGCACGACCACGATTGATCCCATTTAAAATTAATCACGCTAGTTCGGATTCCGTCTTTGTCAATTCAAGCTCCAGGGTTCCTCCCAGGCCCTTTCAAGGTTATTCTAACCCCTAACTTAACCCAGCAAAGGTATTAGTGGGAGTGGTTTTAGACAGGTAATCAGAAGTTCCAATTTCCTTGTTGGAAGGTTTGTGAACCAACTCTCAACTGTTGTTGACTCAAGTTTCAAAACAGTTCCAATGCCAGGTACATCTTTGTATCTTCAATCACTAGCTTTGGTTCAGATTATGTGTCTTCATTATTTCATTCATTTGTAAAGGAACTCTAAGATGTAAATGCAGTGTTTCATTGTGATGGCTCCATAAGTTCCCTCCCACCGGTTCCACCCAAGTGGCATGCATATGTAGCTACTTAAGGAACCTACATTAATTGGGGAGATGCATCAGCAAAGTATCCTATTGTCCAGGTTGAATTTCCCGCTTGCTATACAGCATGTGCTTCACCCTTCCTTTTCCTCGTAAGTGTTGCCAGTACGACGAGAATTGGCGAACGAAGTGTGATATTCACTGAGGATTCTCCTCTTCAGGACACTTCCATAAGTGAGACTGCAGCTACTTCTGACAAGAATTAAGCTGATCGCCCGTTTGAAGAGAAATAAACGTATCTTTGTTGACTCTTCCGCGTCGTTCTTTTCAAGAACTACCAGCTGTGATCCTCATTCATTTCTTCTTCTCCCTTCGTACTGCCGCCAGACATTCTCCACTCCAGCATCGCCGTTTATCTCACAATGCTGCTCTCTTTTGTGACCTTACTCACTTTCGTTCCCTTTTCTCTGGCGCTCTGGCCTCAGCCGCAGGAGTTCAAGCATGGCAACACAACCTTGTGGCTCGCCTCTTCTGCGGAATTCTCCTACCAGCCTAATTGTGCAGGCAACGCCCCTGGAGATGTGGATTATTTCTCTACATATGTGGACTTGGCGGAAGTCCTAGACTTCTTCCAGACGCCCTGGTTGAGAAAACCTAAGGCTACAGGCATACCTGTTCCAAGTGTTGCTAAAGTAGTCCGGAAGGCTATTAAACGCGCTGGGAAAGAAATATACCGCACCAAATTCGTACCTTGGAAATTCCATCCACGGAATAGCACCTTTGAACCCGCCTTGGATGGACAACATGCAGTTATCCGCCAAGTAGTCATCAACCAAGGCTCTGAAAGCAAGCCAGGGGCGGAAACGCGAGACTACATCCATGAAGACGAAAGCTACAAGATTGAAATATCCGCCACTGGCGAAGCAACTATTTCGACAAAATCCGCCATCGGAACTATCCGTGCACTCCAAACCTTTAGCCAGCTATTCTATGCACATTCTTCCGGGCCGGGGGTATATACCCCGTACGCACCTATTTCCATATCGGACGCCCCTAAATGGGGTCACCGTGGCTTGAACCTTGATATATCTAGAAACGCGTACACGCCAGCGGATATTAAACGAACAATTGATACCATGGCTTCTGCAAAGATGAACCGTCTTCACATCCACGCAACGGATTCCCAATCATGGCCGTTGGATATCCCCTCTATGCCTGAATTAGCGGCCAAGGGGGCCTACCATCCCAGTCTAATATTGACGTCTTCCCAGCTGTCGGATATCCAAATTCATGGCCTCGAACGGGGTGTTTCAGTATTCCTAGAAATCGACATGCCCGGCCACACGGGCTCGATTGGATACGCGTTTCCCGAACTGGTGTCCGCCTTCCTAGCCGATGAATGGGACAAGTACGCGCTCCAACCCCCGAGCGGGCAAATCAAGTTAAATTCGTCAGACGTAGATGAGTTCCTCGACAAGCTGATGGCAGATTTGCTTCCTCGCGTCTCGCCATTTACCCGCTATTTCCACACGGGAGGTGATGAATTCAATCTCAATACGTATCTTCTCGAAGAGGCAATCGGGTCGAGCGATGAGGCCGTCCTCCGCCCCTTACTTCAAGCTGTCGTAACACGTCTTCACACCGCCATCCGCGAAGCAGGGCTCACGCCAATTGTCTGGGAGGAACTCGTGGCAGACTGGGACCTAACACTCTCCCCCTCCCCAACCGAGAAAACCGAAATAATCGTACAAGCATGGCGCAACTCATCCGCCGTCAAACATCTCTTGGACCGCGGATACCGCACAATCTTCGGCTCCGGCGACGCCTGGTACCTCGACTGTGGACAGGGAATCTACGTAAACCCCAAACCAGGCTCGACCGCAATCAAAGAACCTTTCCTCGACTGGTGCAGCCCGAAAAAGAACTGGAAGCACATGTACATGTATAACCCCCTGGAGGGAATTTCAGAGGATCTGCACCATCTGATTGAAGGCGGGGAGACGCACATGTGGTCGGAGCACGTTGACCCGATCGTCCTTGACATGATGGTCTGGCCCCGGGCAGCCGCAGCCGCAGAGGTACTCTGGAGCGGGCCGCGGACCACGAATCAGATTCAGGATGCGTCGTATCGCCTGAGCGAATGGCGCGAGCGCGCTGTGATCGATTTGGGTGTTGGAGCCAGCTTGGCACAGATGACGTATTGTCTCATGAGGGAGGGGAGCTGCGAGTTGTAAAGTGGAGCGGAATTTGGGATTTCTCCTCCTCGGGTTTCACTTGTGACGTTTTAGGGTTTTTGAAGACGTCCATATTGGGGGGAGGAAACGGTGGTGGTGGGGGCGTGTGGGTAATGACCAGTTACTGGTTTTCGGCTATGAAGAATTAAATTGAATAATTGTAACCCCGCGAGTCCTCGAGGAAATCTTTCACGTGCTAAAAGAAATGTCTATGAGGGAAATGAATGAATGAAACAAGGATGAAAATATCCACCACCAATCAATCATAAAAATATGTGCCGTCAGGCAACTTTTAATTTATTTCACAAAATAATAAACACAACCTTTCACACCCCTTCAGCCATTGGGGAAAAAAACATTTAAATAGACAGGGGCAGAACTTCCAGCAGACGCACTTCCACGTCCATCATGGATATTATTCTAAGGTTAAACCATCACCAAAATTATTTTTACCCCGGACATCAACATTCCCCCGGTCCCCGTCCCAGAGCCCCAGAATCTTCATCTGACACCGAGGCCTCAATATAGGAGCATTTTAGCGCGTCTTGGTTAGTCCTGCTCCAGCCAATTATTGGGCACATCGTACGGCGTCACGACTCACCATCGTGGGTTTGCGGGGAAGGGCTAAACGAGCCAAAGCACCCCCGGCGTACTTTTTTGCAGGCCGTGCCTTCAAACTTACTCAGGGATGGGACATTTAGTTGTGTGTGCGCCAGGAGGTACCGCCGGCTGCTAGGTAGGGGTCGGGTTTGTGTGAGGACTTTGGTACGAGACTGCATCTGGGGAACATGAAATGATGATATCAAAGTTGTTTCTTCTTTTCTTTGACCATGTAAATTATGTACGCCGCGTAGACTCATGGCAACGTCTTTCTTAAGATTTTAGGAATCGGATGCGCCTGATTTGGCCTTCATTCAATGACATGTAGATGTGTACTCCGTATGTATGTGCCAGCGATAAGATGACCCTAGGTAGTAGGCGAACGGTAAGCACTCTAATAAATGGACCATTCAGCAAGCAAAGCAAAGCAAAGCAAGCAAGCGTGCATATATGTAGTAAGTAGTAAGCATGAATAACCCGCGAAAAGCCCGCGCATATGCATGATTCAAAGAAAAATCACTTTTGACAACATACAGAGTACATAGCGTCTGGTCTATTGCTGAGCGAAATCGAGTACGAGTACGTCCAGCAACAGGAAGCTGCTTGAAAGGAGGAGAAAGTTGATACGTGTAACTACTAACTAACTAGGAGTTGAGGTGGAGAAAAACGAATGAGAACCGAACCGACCTCGCTTTCGTCGGGAATAATAATGCATCCAATTGATATTATTGAAGCCGATATGTGGAGTTAAGCCGGCCCGGTGAGGTGGTTTTTCCCCCGCTGTTGGACCTCTGTCTGATCCATCCGTGATATATATTCTTATATAGGATGATTATTAGGATGTTGTCATTTCCTTCTTTCTTCTCCTTCCATTCTCTTCATGTCCAAGGAGCTCTCCCCTTCGCCAGTGCCGAGATTCGCCCGTCTGATAGAGGTGGGAGGTATCATTCTAGACTCTATTTCGTCTGGATCGGCCGGAATAGTTCCGCAGTGGTGCAAAACACCGTCTCTAATTATTGAAACCTCTTCTCTCTCTCTGCTGTCTCGGTCTGAAATCACCCCCAGCCATACGAAGGCGGGGCATAGGGTTCCCCCCCCCTATAGGTGGACGACCCGATAAGGGTGCGTGTGGAACATATATCATTCCAATATCCGCCTGAAAAGTCTCACCTTTCCCCAAGCCGTGGAAGTAAATATATATACAAGTGTTTGAAGTGCTGGGAGCACATCCACTGCGAAGATGATTGTTGCGGAGTTGATCCAAAACTTAACGCCGGCGAGGGCTGTCGTGGGCATATTTGGTTTTTCCTTCATTGTGTACTGGATTCGCAGAATCCAGATCGAGCGCAAAATTAGGCGCTTGGGATCACATGCCCCGGTTGTTCCAACATACCTCCCAGTAGGTGAGTTAATATGTTCGATTTTTTCAAATAGTTGCTGCTGTTATTTCCATCCTGTACGTTGGAGATATGATAAAGAGTTGTCATGCGGAGAGGGGCGATGGAGAATTATTTGTACTAGCATATCAATATGTGGGGAAGTGAAAACTAAATCGCTAACGTTGAAAAATTTATGCAGGCCTCGATTTCATATGTAAATCTTTCAAGGCGGCAGGAAAGAGAGAGGAGCTTAAATTCTGGCGGGACCAGCTTGCCGCCTTACCTTTACCCAACGGTGATCCGTCATCTACTCTAGAGATAAACGGGAATTCTACTTTCCGTGCTATATACACCGTCGACCCAGAGAACATCAAGGCTGTCCTGACCGGCCAATTTGCTGATTACGGGAAAGGCCAGCGCTTCCACGAAGAATGGAGGGAGTTCCTGGGTGACAGCATCTTCGCTACGGACGGCGAGCTGTGGTCCAGATCGCGCCATCTGATCCGACCCATGTTTGCAAGGGATAGAATTGTCGATACGGAGAACTTCGAAAAGCACATCCAGAAACTCATTCCTTATCTAGAAGGGAATAATAATAAGCCTGGGAAAGGAAAAGTTGTCGATGTCGCAGCACTGTTCTTCCGCTTTACTCTCGATGCAGCCACGGATTACCTCCTCGGCCAGAGTGTTGATAGCTTGGATGACCCGAAAACTGTATTCGCAGAGTCTTTCCAATACGTCCTCCATCGCCAGTCGACTTTGTTTAGAGCTGGGTAAGTCGGAACATGCCCTGCGCTCACTGATCTATTTTAAAAATTTTATATTTTAAGAAAAAAAGGGAGAAGGAAAGGGGTGTTTCTATTGCTTGTTTAGCTAACCCAATATTTCCCCCCTTTTTGTAGACCCATCAGCCCCCTATTATCCCGCAAAGAGTTCCGCATAAATCTCAAGAAAATGGACGACTTCATGCAACCCTTCATCGACGAGGTCCTCACTCTCAGCACCGAAGAACTCGACAAGAAGCTCTCCAAAAAGGACACCTTCCTCCACGCCCTCGCCCGCTTCACCAAGGATCCTAAAGTAATCCGCGACCAACTCGTCGCCATCCTCCTCGCAGGACGCGACACCACCGCCGCCACCCTCTCCTTCTGCCTCTTCGAGCTCTCCCGCAATCCAACAGTCGTCGGCCGACTCCGCACAGACGTCATCGACCGCCTCGGAACCAGCCGTAAACCCAGCTACTCCGACCTCAAGGAGATGAAATACCTAACCGCCGTGCTCAACGAGACAATGCGCCTGTACCCCGTCGTGCCCTTCAACGTCCGCCACGCACTGACAGACACCAGCCTTCCCCGCGGCGGCGGGCCCGACGGCCGCTCCCCCATTGGCATCCCCAACAACACGCGCATCCTCTACTCGACCATGAACATGCAGCGGCGGCGCGATCTGTACGACGCGCCCCCGCCCCCGCCCGCACTAGGAATGGGGGTAGCAACTACAGGTAGCGACGAGAAGCGGTCCATCCCCTACTTCGACCCGTTGCTCTGGATCCCAGAGCGGTGGACGTCAGGCTGGCAACCGAAGCCGTGGCATTTCATTCCGTTCAATGGCGGGCCGCGCATCTGTCTGGGACAGCAGTTTGCTATGTTGGAGATGGGGTATACGGTTGCGAGAATCTTGCAGAATTTCAGTGAAATTCAGGCTGTTGGGGCGGCGCCTGTGGGTCAGGATCCGCCGTTCAAGTTTGATGTGACGTTGAGCCCTGGTGAGGAATTGAATATGGTGTTTGTGAAGGGGGATAAGGGGGAGTAGTTAGATATTTGTAAGGGGAGGGTTGAGTGGAGTAGATAGGTACTTGATGTCTAGTTGATGTTCTACGGATGGATTTTTTGGGGGGGATGCCCTTTTCTTGTTAATTGCAGGTGCGAAACTTCTTTGCAGAAGTAAAGGGGATGATTTACTGAGTGAACGAACAACCTGGGTTTATCATACCTTTTTCGTGTATATATGATCTTCTCATGGCAAAATAAATAAATAACAAAATATAAAAGGAGCCATTCGGCTTTTTCGATGTTTTTCAATGTAAAAGCTTAATTCCACATAATCCTATCTCTCAACATACTACTCCGTACTATGCGTATGCGTATAGCATCCCTGGTGATAAACAATTTTGCTCCACATCTGAAATATTTACTCTACTTAATTGAACACCATGTAGATTACTTGGCGTGCTCCAGCAATCGAGAACCCTAGGCTCTAGAGGTGGGAAGAAGTTGCTGTCTAAGACCAGCAATATGTCGTGATCCAATATCCCCCTCCGACGGCCTATAAAACACAGCCTGGCTAGCTGATTTCTCAAGAGTTGTTGAGGTTCGCTTTTTTTTTTTTTTTTTTTTTTTTTGAAGCCAGAGAGCTTTTCCTCCATTTCACGGTTTGGTATTTTGGAAAGTTAGGGAACGCCCAGAAAGAACCACTTGGGACCGTAGCATCCTCAGAAGCAGGAGGCAAGTAAAAGACTTCGAAGAAGGGACCTATTATTCAACCATTCTTCCGCTTCGCGTAACATCTAGTTTAACATATCATTCCGTCGAGCTGTCAGATTTTTACTGCCGAAAGGTGCCTAATTGCACTGCCTAACTATCCATCCTGGCCAAAGAGCCAATAAAAAGGGTTTCGACATGTTGATTTTCACATTCGCCAAGAATATTAATATGGTCGCGGTCGCTGGTCGTGGGTAACTTAATCATTATCTTCTTTCTCTTTTTACTGGCTCCCCATTAGGTTTTGCCTTGAAGGCAGCGTCCCGAAATCTGCCGTTCCAGAGAACACTCACTAACAGACGAAGAGGCCATTCTGTTCATATTGCAATATGAAGGTGGATCAAGATGGACTACGACAAATTACCGCCTAGGCAGATCCGATCGTAGTTCTAAAAGTGTAGTTACGGAGCAGATGTAATCCCAATTGATAATTCCAGAATACTTGAACAAGAACATTAGTAGCTGTAGACCATTTTTGCATAGATAGAGGGATATCTACCACTTGGATACAACCATTGAAACAATATCTGCATAACCTCTTATCTCTCATCGTCATAAATTCGGTGTTAATCTCACTCTGGGTTGCTAAGTTAGTTACCCTATCACGTGCCAATGACTCGTGCGCACTTGTACGGAAGTATATAACCTAGGACGTTGAGCCAATATCAGCGACATCCAGCCTCGCATATTTGCCCATACGAGCAATCTATCAGTATCAGGTACCACTCAGTTTACATATGATCCATATAAATTCTTTCATCCATGTCAGACACTTTCTTTGGGTCAATCCAGAAGGAGGGCACCATATACCGTGACGAGGCAGGATTCGATGACAACTTCAAGCTCGACATCAATTTTGCGAAGATGGAGTTTGAGGAAACCCTTAATGTCTCAGAAGCATCCTCCATATTTCATGTCAACTATTGTGGCAAGCCACGGGTCTTGAAAGTGGTATGTATCCCCATTCAGTGTGTGTGCATTTCTTAACCTGTTGTCCTTTTTCCTGATCATGATGCAACGCAGTTCCACAAAAATGGGGATCCTGGGTACGCCCACGACCATATTCGAGATTTGGACCGCTCTCGCTGTGAGATTAGAGCCTATTGCAGGCTTAAACAGTCTAAAATATGTGATTCTGGTGCTGTGCCAGATTTCTACGGGTTTATACTAGCCATTGACCCAGCCAAATGTGCTCCTTATCTAGATGCCTTTCAGCATGACACAGATTTTCCATGTGCCATTCTGATTGAGTATCTGCCAAAGCCTTTGGTAATGAACTGTGTTACTTATACAAGAGAACATATGCAGAAAGCTGTCATTAACATTCAGCAAATTCATTCAGCTTTAGTTGAGTATAATGATCCTTACTCAAAGAATATCCTCATTGTTCCTGGTGATCAAGAAAGAGTTATATGAATTGATTTTGATATTGCAATTGTTTATCCAAATGACACATACATTGAAAAGAAGGGGCATGACCAGATTAAGTTTGAAACTGAAGTTGTTGAAAGCTTTGAACAGCTACTTGTTCGTCTCTAATGGCAAATTATCTCTCCATTTTCCTGATTTGATAGAGACTGACAAGTTTTATAGGAAGAAGATCAAAAAAAGGGTCTGCCGCCGAACACGAAATACTACTAGGAACAAACGCCTCTTTAGCCTCACAAGGAGACAAACACACACACACATACACACACACACACATAGACTGACCGTGTGACCGTGTCTGAGACCAGGATCAAACTTTACAGTTGTCATATTGCCTAAAAGCATTACTTCTGGTCATGATTTGTGTTCATCACATTGATTTCAAATCATGTTATTTCAAATATTAAAGATCTCAGATTCACTTTTCAAATAAAAATCTAGTCTCAGATAAAGAATATATTTGAATTCTTAGTCATATTTTCATTCTGATCTCATTATTAAGAATAATATTAAATGAGACTATGAAATCATTTCTCACTTACATAATATTATAACATAGTACTTATTTATTGAAAATTCAATAGAGAGTGTTATCAAATATTATTACTTTTCTAAACATAGATTATAATTTATATAATTTTAATTATAAAAAAAATATAAAATATAAAAAAAAATAAAAAATAAAAAATAAAACAAAAACAAGAAAAAATCATAATAAAAAAAGAAGAGAAAGAAAAAAAAAATAAAAGAAAAAGAAAAAAATAAAAAATAAAAATAAAAAAAATCAAGATTACAGAGCTATAGCATCTTTAAAATACTCACTTTTCAGAGTCTTTATAATATTTATTATTAACTGTGTATTTCTCACAGTAAGAGTAATATAGTTATGATAAGTTATTATCTTAATACTATCTAATAAATAATCAGTATATATCTGTATAAATGTGAATAAATTAGAAAATATATACTTAAAAAGTGTGATCAGAGTGAACTCTGCTATCACTTGAATAATATTAAGAACAGAATACTGAAATTAATGATTTTTCTCATTGATTTCATAGATAAGATATATAAAGATAATCTTAAGAAATATAAGATTCTCTAACTTCTGATAAAAATGAATCTTATGAAGAGACTTTATTTTTATAATATCAGAGACTGAGTATTACTAAAAAGTGTTACTTTCATATAATATATATATACTTACTGTGATAATTCACTCTCTGTACATGTGACTAAGAGTTGCAGCTTTTTCATACTATACAGCTCTCTCTGAGATGCTGCTGCTGATTTACAACTCATACAGTCTCTCAGTTCAGTATATACTGTATGTATACAGCTCTGTATACTGAGACTGTATTAGTTATTATAATCTGATATAGTACTCACTTTTCACAGATCATGTTTTATTTAAGAGAGAAGAGAGAGAAGATATAACTATTATTTTATTAAAAGAGAATGAATAATTAATAATATTGAATATAATTTAATTCTTCTGTATTTAAAATTTGATTAGTCTATACTCTTTAATTTGAGAGTTTCTAAGAGTGTTTTAATAGTTTTCATATCAGCTTGAACTTAGTGATGAATTGATGAAGAAGAGAAAAGAGAGAAGAAAGAAATAAGAATAACTTATCTTTATAATATAAAAACAGAGAATTGCTGTAATTATTCTTTTCAGTAATAAAAATCTGTTTTCTACATGTATTTCTGATATAGATTATATAATAACTGTATATAAAGAATATTAACAGTACATGTATTAAATGAGAATAATATTACTATATAATACTATAGCTGTTTCTGTACATCTCTGAAAGCTGTTAATATTTTCTTTGAGTCTCTTTATATTTAATAAGTTAGTAATATATTTCAATGTACTTCTTCTTTCATTATTATTATTATTATTATTATTATCATTATTATTATTATCATTATCATCATCACTATCATTATTATTATTATTATTATTATTATCATCATTATCATTATTATTATTATTATTATTATTATTATTATATTATTTCTGACTATCTCTTCTGTCTTTATCTCTCTTTAATACTTACTGAAATTAATTATGTTATCTCTTTTTAAATATTCTACAGTTCTGCAGATCATCAAGGCACGTGAGCACTGTCACAGATTGAAGAGAGAGAAGAAGAAGATGTTTAAGTACAGAGAGACAGATTGTAAGACATATTATAATATCTTGAAAAGACTTTATAAGAGAGTAGAATGATAACAATTTTAAGTAATACTTCTAATAGATTTAGACTGAACTAAGTATAGAAATAATGTGAATAATACTATCTATGAGAGATTAGAAAAGAAGATAGTAAAGAGTCTTATACAGCAGTGATAAGATCAGAAGAAGTCTCAAGAATGATTTAAGACTAAGATAAAGAGAGAGAGAAAGAAGAAAAGTATTACTGTAAATAAGTAACAGTAGAAGAAGATTGAGAAGATATTAAAGTAAGAGATAAAGAAGTCAAAACTGATAAGTTTTTATTAAGAGATAATAATTTTTAATAATACTTCTGTTCTCTAATTGATTAGCAGAAGCTGACAGAGAAGAAGAGAATTAAGACCTTATTCAGATCTTGAATGCACTTCATGATTCAGAATATTGAGAAGACAGTTCTACTTTCTGAGTATATCAATCTGTTTACTACTGAGATAGAACCTAAGACAGTAGATCAGAAAATGCAGGATTTTAAGATACAGATTAATCTGACTAAGAGAAAGTAGTGAGAATTCTTCTCTGAGAAGGTAGCAGAGAGAGATTTTAAGATAATTATTATCTCAGATGAGAAGAAGAAGAAGAAGAATGAGAATAAGAAGTGAATTATAAAGAATAATAAGAAGAATGAGAAAGAGAAGAAAGATAATAAGTAGAAAAAGTTTTTTTCTTTTTATATTAGTTAGTTATAAGTTTGTAACTATTAGTTAATAATTGAAATTAATTTTAAGTTTTCAAAAATTATTGTACAAGTTGTAATCAATTATCAATATCAGAAATAATATATATATATATATTCAACTATCATGTCACTATAATGTATAAGTATCAACATTTTTTCAATATTAATATTCACAATATTAATATATTTTTAATAATATTATTTAATAATGTAATTTGATAACACTCTCTTTCACAATATTAATATATTTCAAGAAATATGACAGAGATTAATCAAGATTGTTTATTTACTTTTATATATTAATAATATTCAATCTGAGTTAGTATTAAAATTATAACTAAGCTAAGAAAGAAGATTATTTTCTCTTATATTAATTCTTCTTACATACATCAGTGATCAGTTATTGAAAATAAATTATTATCTTTCTTAAATTATTATCATGTCTTCTGAATTCACTTCTTTCACTTCTTTTACTTCTATTGAAGATTCACAAACTCTTCAAGAAATCACTATAAATCACAAAGTCTATGTTATTTACAATTTAACACAGATTACTTCATTCTTCACATGTGATTTCAGGCCATGAAATTTATGAAAAACTCAACACAAACACTGAGATGAACTATGAAATAATTATTAACAGATTGCATTGCAGATTACTGAAGAGTCATCTCTCTGCTACAATTACTGTAACTTCATTCAGAAACATTTATTATAAACTAATTATAACTCTGAAGAAATTTTCTAACATCTGAAGTTATCAGAATACAGATAATAAAAGAAAAATAATCAGAAAATTACTACTGAGCTGATAAGTTACTCTATCAGATAATGATTTTTAATAATACTAACTTTCTAATTTGAAGAAAATTATGTGAAAATAATCATATATTAGTACTCTGATTTTATAACTCTCATCTGATAACTTTCATAAACAATTACTTTATATATATATATCTCTGAATCTTTCTCTTTGATCAATTGAAAACTCTGAATTCTGAACACTTCTTCAAATACTTAATTCAAATCTTTATATTTCATATCAATTCTGTCTTCAGTTCAATCTTGAGATATACTACAAAGTCAATATGCAATATCTAGAATCAGAGTTGAAGAATCATTGAAGAGTGTCTCTTACAGTAAATGTATAAACTAGTATAAACAATCTTATATTTATAAGAGTTATATGTTATTACATTAATGAGAACTGAACTTATTAAGAGATATTAATTGAATTTGAATCATTAATCAGTAGTCATACTGAGAATTATATAGCAGAGATATTAATAACCGTGATTAAAAATGATTATTAAGATATTAGTCTCAGTCTTCTTACAATTATAACTGATAATGCTGTGAATAACTACACTATAATAAAAAGCTTGAAGTAAAAATTAGCTTTGCATTTCTAAAATAATTTAATAAAGATCATATTCTCTGTATTACTCATGGGATTTTAACTTGTGATATAAACACTGATAAAGAATCTTAACATTTAAGACAAAGAATAATGAGATGACTGATTCTTGGAATGAGAATGAGATGAAAGTGATTACTCAAGTAACTTTGGTATTCACTTTACAAATATAATGTTTTTTAACAACATTTTTTAATATTGTTTTTTAGTAACACTTTTTGATAATACTACTGTTAATTTTGAATAGATTGACTAATAATTTAAATATCATAGATTTAAAACATTATTAATATGATTTATATCTTCTCTAAACAATAATAACAATTTTATAATATTTAATAAACAAACAAATCAGTTATACTACTGAATATGATACAGAATATTAGAACACAGTAAAGTTCAATATATAAGATAACTGTTTAGACTTTTTAATTATGTCAGATAATTGATCATTGAGTGTAATACTCTAATCAGAAAAAGATTCAGATATTGAAACTTTCTGATATAAAGTGAACTCAGTTGAAATATATGATTGATTTACTATTTCAGTTTTATAAGATAATAAAGACAGTCTCAATCACTTGTACATCAATGCTGCAGTCAGTCTGATAAGTGTATAACAGTTTATTTACTTATCTTAAGAAGCAGTT